GTGGTATCATATGCTATTTAAATAAGTAAGTGTTCCCCTGCTTTGGCATTTGACACCAAATCTAAATCACATGTTTATCGGTTTGAGTTTGTTCTTCAAAAAGAAAATATTGAAATTTGACATGTAGTGCAGAAAATTAAACTCCTATTTTACGATGTTAACCAATGACCCACAACCACCACAGATTTTCACACGCCTGAAAAGAAGCCCTAACTATCTGTTGGAGACTGGAATAATAATAGGAACAACTTTGTTTGCTGATTACAGGGCTCAAATGGACGTTTACCCTTGCTTTCCAACCCCACTGTGTGTCCTTTCATTCTCATTTCTTTTCTGAAGGATTTTTCTAAGTGGCTCAGGGAAGGAATAAGTTACTTGCAGCTGAAGCAACATCTCTGGTAGCACAGTCTAAAAGCCACACAGAGACCTTCCATGAGGATTTGCACCTACCTTCGCCCAGATTACACAGTGACTTGTGCTCTTAAGGACTGAAGCTCCTTAAGGGCCTGTGCCCTCCTACTCACCAGGAAGAACTTGTAAGGAAAAAATTCCTTATACTCCATCAAACATTGTCGCACTTTCTTTTTCTCTTTTTTTTTTTTTTTTTTTTTTTTTTTTGAGACGGAGCCTCACTCTGTCACCCAGGCTGGAGTGCAATGGTGTGGTCTCAGGTCACTGCAGCCTCCACCTCCCGGATTCAAGCGATTCTCTTGCCTCAGCCTCTTGAGTAGCCTGGACTACAGGGTTGTGCCACCACAGCTGGGTAATTTTTGTATGTTTAGTAGAGATGGGCTTTTACTATGTTGGCCAGGCTAAACTCCTGACATTGTGATCGGCCCTCCTCAGCCTTCCAAAGCGCTGGGATTACAGACGTGAGCCACCACACCTGGCCATCTTTGCATTTTCTAAATATTTCTGTGGTGTCCAAGCAGCTCCTTTATTCTATGTATATTTTAGAGTCCTTTAACTGAGTGGTACCCTCACCAGGTAAGTATTCATTTTTGTGCAAATACTGAACTTTTGGAGAGTGAAAGAGGAGACCTTCAGTATATCCTAAGAAACAAAGTTGTTGTATGACCTCAGATTTTGGATTCTTCTAGTTTAGTACTGTATGAAGTGGCATTGTCATGTGTGATGCTGTTTGGGGTTAATGCCATGATGCCAACCTTAGATACCAATATCTTTCTTCTTTTAGTGATTATTTGTGCTCCATTAGCGACAACTCTAGTCAAAACATCTTCACATCTATTTATGTTTTCTGACCATATCCAAAGAATTTTCATATATTTCCAGTGCTGCAACTAGAGTCCAGGTCAAGATTTTGCTCAACAACTGGATTTCTGAAACAACTTCCTACACATTTCTCTCACCTCAAGTCCAAGGCTGACTTAACAAGGGGCTAGGATGTTTCTTCTCCTAATGCAAATATGATCACCATTTCCCTTCACAACACTCTTCAATAGAGCCCCTTGTCCTCACAGCACATTCCAAACATTTCTTCCCACTCAAGGTTTTTCATCATATGCCCCTTTTTTGTACTCCCACACTTGACATTTTGGGCCCACCTCATCACGTGGTGTATGGAGATGTATATACATCTTTATTTTCACAGAAGAATGAGAAGTTTCTAAAGATAAGAACTAAATCTTATATTCATGTTTGTGTTCCCATGTCCTAGTGGAGGAATCACATAGCAGGGGTTCAGTAAATACACACGAAATGGCTACCTTGAGCTACAAGTCCTTTCTTTTCCAGAAGATGGAATTGTTTTTAATAGATGAACTAAACTGAAGGACATAGACGCCCTCAGAAAAAATGGTAGGCATTAAACATAGATGGTTATTATTAGTCACAGTTTATACTGGGGGAAATATTCACAAGAAACCATAAATGGTCCCATGTTTTGAGACCTTTCGAAGCCTTATGGGGAGAGCCTCCTACCTTCTGCCATATCTCCCTTTTCTACCTGAGGTCCTCCAGAATGCTTAGAACTATGCAGATTGCAAGGATTACATCTCTTCTCTTCTTAGCTACAAGATACCAGGCCTATGTCTTTGGTTTTAGAGTAAGATCATAATGGAATGAATATGAATAGAATCTGATCAGCAATCTCATCAGAAAGTACTTTGCTTGTATCAAATCTACTTTGGGTGATAAAATACCTAGGAATATACTTTTCATACCAACAGAAATCATGACAAAATTCCCCTACATTTTCTTGATTCCTCCTTCTCTAAAATAGAGTTCCAATATGGGTAACTTTTCTTAATTTAATCAAGACTGAAAATAAATGGAAAGGAAGGCTTTTTAAAGTAGGGTAGAAAAGGGTACATTTCTTCAAATAATGCTATATATAACACTAAAGACATAAAACCTTCAACTGAGGGACCTTGAAAATATATAGACACACATATGAACAGAAATATTTAAATATACATTTGAAACTTAAAGAAAACATGAAATTGTATAAGTAAGCCACTACGGCTTGCATTTGTAGTTCATGGAATCTTAAACAATTGGCAGTGCCTTGGGATTCATCTAGCACAGCGTTTTTTTATTTGTGCATCTCAGAACTAGATTTTCTAAGCAAACCAGAAATTGTGAGAAAAGGAAAGGAGAGGAGAAGGGATCTAATAAAACATGTGTTTACACTAAACCAGACAACAGCTTAAGCCTGGTGAGCTCTTGTTTTCTGTTCTTGATACTGGGCTTTCTCCTAAGAATAAAATATAAACATCTTTCAGGGGCTGGAAGACCTAGAAAGATCTAGTCCATGTCTATTACTACAACGTAATCCATCTCCATTTTCCTCCCCTCCTACGGCACCTTGTTTCTCCCATCCATCCAGCCCCTTCCTGCCACAGACATTTCCCTCGTTTATTCTGCCTAGATCATTCTTCCGTCAGAGCTTCACAACACTGACTTGTCACCATCACATCTCAGCCTAAGTGCCATCTCCTCAGTAAGAGACCATCCCCAGCCTCCTTAGATAAAAGGTGTCCCTTGGTCACTATCTGAATTATTCCCAGTTCTTACCCTTGCTCTAGGGTGTGTCTTTCGCTCAAGAAGAATCTGGACCTCCCTCTAAGCTCAGCAGTTGAGAGTGTGGGAACCAGGGCTAGAATTTTGGTTAACTGAAATTACTTCACCTGTTTTGGAATCTGTAGAAGTTATGGTTTAAAAAATATTTTTAAAGGAAAGCAGGTAGAATGGTTCAAATAGAAAGCATGCATTTGGAATCAACATTTATATGGAGTCTTAAGAAGAGAAAAAAAAAAAACTTGAAGAAGCATACCTTTTTCTAAAAGGGACTCAAAATATTTCATTTTCTATGCAATGTCCTTTGATCAAAAGAAGCCAGCAGATGAAAACAGTGCAGTGTCTGATTCCCATCACAATATGACCTCCTATAGATGAACAACGCAGGCAATCCTTGGTATGGTCAGATGTGTGTTCAATGCTAGATGGGATACAAACACTCACTTCTTTATTCAAGAAATGCTAACTATGGACCGAACATGTGCTGTGCCTTGGCGGTACTGAGTATTAATCACTGGCCTCCTGAAGCTTTTAGTTCAGAACAGTTATAAGAAAATCTCTCATTGCAGAAATCAGCTCATAGGTGAAACAAGACAAATACATATAATGTTACCAGAAAAATCTAAAGTGAATCTAATGATTGTATAATATGAGCTAGAATAATTGAGCATATTAACACAGAAAAGCATTTCAAAGACTCAAAGATAAGGTCAAGATTTGATACCTGGGTACCAGGTGAATTACAGAAAAGAACATACTGGGGAAATCCAAACTAATATCCAAGAAAAGACTCGAAGGTCTTTTCTAAGCACCTTGAATTTGGGAAGGCTGACAGTTGAGTGGAAATGGACCATGAAATGGTCATCCAAACAGCCCTGGATCTTAGAGATAAAACTTTTAAAATGCATTAATGTTAAGTAAGCAACATAGGATGGTATCTGGAACTTAACAGGAGTTCAAAATTGCTGTTAGAATTATTAGCATAGAAATCAGTTTTAAACACTGACTAAATTGAATGGGCGAGGTGGGGGAGGCGTGGTGCCGGTTAAATGGCCAAGAGAGGCTGGACTGGGGACAGAACAAGTATGCTTGATTGCACAAGAAATCAGAGATACTGGCACGGACAAGAGTAACCCCTTGTAACTGGCATCCGAAGAATTACTGCTAAGGTTAAGAGTAAATGCGTAAGAGACAGAGGACACGTTCCATTGGTAGAGTGAGAAAATCAAACGAACGTAGTTGGAAATGATCTCTCCCCCTCCTAACACTTAGGACAGAACACCTCCTCATGAGATTGAAGCGAGCACCAGAGCAGAGGGAAACAAAGCCTGCTCAACTCCAGGGGCTGCGCTGCGCTGCAAATAAAGGACCAGATCCCTTTCCTTCCTTCCACACCTTGCGAGGGTCCTCCGTCCCGCCCTGCGAGTAAATCAAACACTTCGGAAGTTTAGCATTAGAGAACCCGGCAGGGGAGAAAATTTTCTGCAAGTTAAAAAAAAAAAAAAAAAAAAAAAAAAAGGAAAAAAGAAAGAAAGAAAGAAAAAGAAAAAGTAGAACTAGGGCAGTCCGAGGAGATTGAAAGGGCAAAACTATCAAGCAAGAAAACTGTAAGTTCTGATTAGTTTTATGACTTTGCCTTCATGCCTCAGGAGCTCAATTGATCACGGCTTTCACGACAGGCAAAGGTGGGTGTTGGGGGGGCAGCTTGAAAATACCCTCAACACTCTCCTCCAGGTCCGCGCTTTAGATGCAAATGCCTCGCGGAGAGATGGATGGGCTGCAGCCCCTCCTACTTTCACCCCGCTTCTTATTTTTCTGCAAAGGAATCCATCCGTACAGATCTGTCAGGCGGGAGGTGGAGGAGGGTGCGCGAGGGTGCGCGCGTGTGTGTGAGCGCGCGTGGCGGCCGAGCGGCTCGGTCTTCTTCGCGTTCTTTTCCAGTAGCCCCCACCGGGTCTCCAGGAGGCGCGGAAGTCTCAGTGGCTCCCCGGGCCGGCCTCCGACGGCGCAGACTGCCGGCGCCCGCCGCCCACCCCCGCCGCCCTCTTCCCGCACCTCCGGCCCCGGCCCCGGCGCGCTCTCTCCTCCTCTACCGCGCGCCCTCTCGCCCTCTGTCCGGCCGCCGCGCGCTCCCGCTGGCTCCGGACCCTGCGTCTCCGCCAACCGGGAGAGCCGGAGGGGCCCCTCTCCGCGCGCGGAAGCTGCGGGCCCAGGGCGCCCGAGGCCGGGGCAGGGTCCCCGCGCGCCGCGGAGTGGGCTGTGATTGGAGGAGGAGCCCGTGCCGGGCGGGCCCGAGCGGGTGCCGAGCCGGTGCCTCCAGTCTGCCCCGCGCGCGGAGCTGCGCCTACTGGGTCCCCCAGAACCCGCGGGCGCCCGGCAGCCGAGCGCAAGTCGTTTCGGATGCACACGCCCGGGTCCCTGGCGTCTGACGGCGCGGGGAGGGCAGCGAGGCCCCAGGTGAGTGTGGCTGCCTGCGCGGGGCTGGGGAGGCGCCGCCGGGCAGAGGTGCGCCCTTGCCGTGCGCCTTTGGAAGCAGGACTAATCAGTGAGCGGAGAGCGGGCGGGGGTGTCCGTGCGGAGTTTCCCTGGGCGTCCCCAAGTTACTGCGTGTTGCCGTGAGATGTGGCTCTGCGAGGCAGGACAGGAGTGTGGATGGAGCCGGGGGTGTTTGGCCCGGAAAGCCGGTGCTGACAGACACCAGGTGCGACGGGAGGAGTAGTGGTTGAGGGTAAGAGCGAATCCCGGCACTCTCCAGGTGCAGCGGCCAACATGGGCAGGCTGGAGCACTCTCCTCCGAGAGGAACGCACGCAGGCTCCTCCCTCGACCTCGGACTGCTGGGGGCACAACTTCGCGCCGGCTGTGCCTCCGGGTTCTGCAGAGGTCTGAGGCTGGAAGGGGTACGCGCCGCTGTGGGCAGGAGTCCTTTGAACCATCCGCGCTAGACACCTTTTACCTTTCGTGAAGGTGGAGCTCACCTCGGGGTGCTTTGCTTCCCCCCTCTGTAATTAGTATTCTCCTGATCTGGTTCATCTGCATCCTGCGTCCCTTCCGCCTGGCTGTGCCTCTTAAGTGTGCGCTGGGAAAAGGGCGCCCTGCTTCTCTGAATGCGTGGTGGACTTCTTCATGGGTGCACATGGTACACTGCTAGTTGCTGGTATTCAACCTTCCAGTGTGGATTAATGAGAAAAAGACTCGTTATTTCGTACCGCTTGACGTTTTAGATCGTTAACCCTACGGATTTCTTAAATGTCATAGTTGAGGTGAGTAAAGATTGGCAATGAGTTCACCAGCACCGGGCACATGGCAAACTGTTGAGAAACCGTCAAGATGGGGTGTATTAAGGCTTTGGAGATCTGCAAACTGAACCATAAATGTACTTATAACATCATCTGCTTTGCAATAAATATCTTGTATAAATATCTTGTATCTATTAGATCGTTTATTGAGACCTTTAAGTAAGACTTGTCCTCATAATTTCTGTAACCACCAGACAGATGTTCAGATGATTTTTCATAGAGGAGTAAACAGAACTTTATATATATATATATATATATATATATATATATATATATATATATAAAGAAAAAAAAGAGAGAGAGAGAGAGAGAGAAATGTGACTTGTTAATATATGGCCCTTGCCAAATGACAAGTATGTATTTTTAAAAGAAGATAACACCTCACAAAAATGTGTATTTAAAGAGTTTAAGAGCAGTAGCAGCCTTTTTTTCTAAGGAAAGTTTGAATAGACACAATATCTAAGTACTTTTAAGAGTGTCTTTATAAAGGCAAATTGTTAGGGGAGAAAAGAGCTAAGAAAAACAGTTGCATTTGAAGCTTTCAGTAACTCACCAAAAATTACTTCTTTCCTAAAGAACTAGTTAGACTTTGTTTTACCTAAGATATTTTCATGTTAGTGTATGTCAAGGGGAAATGCATGAAGAATACTTTTCTTTATTTTTAAGGCTATTTGGAACAGTAGCAATTAAAATGCAAAATAATTGAGGCAGGTAGGCAGACTGGCAACTTTGTGGAAGTCTTGCTTCTGTGTTAGTGTTTAATATGGAGTGGGATAGCAGAGCAATTAGGTAACATCCAACGTTAATAGTCTTATCTGGGAAAGCTAGCTGAGTCTGAGGACAGAAAAATAAAGAAAACAATAAGCAGTAGCATAGACTGTCACCCTGCTAAAAGCTATTAAGGTTTGCAGCTTTAATAAAAGGGCATTGTGCACTTAACAACGTGAGATATTATTGTAATTAAGGGCTGCAAGAGGTTATTAGAATTGTGTTAACAATCACTTGACAGACTCACAACTCTTCTTAAGTCTACTTTTATTGATTTAATAGCACAGAGCTTTTCCCTTTCTTACTTAAGGATAATTGTAAAGCATCTATATTACTGCAATTTACCCTTGAATTGACTCTAGTGTTTAGTGTCCAATGAAGAAGAGAGGGTGGAGAGCACGCGGAGCTGGCCACTGTTCAGCCTTCCTCAGCCTAAAAATCAAATGATTGTCTCCTTGGGCACTGTTTCCTTACTGGTTTCCCTGTTATTCAGCATTTTTTTTTTTTGATGTTAAAGCTGATATAAACCCCTCAGAATGTATACTGATATGAGGAAGTGAGTACATTTTTGTGTTGAGCAAATACATTTTTGGCAAATATTTCAGAAATTCTTTACAAAATATTAAACTCACAAACTGTTCTTTGCTGTGGATATTTATTGCCGAGTGATTCCAATCTTTCTCGATTCTATAAGGTTTTACATTTATTGCTTTAATAGCTTGTATCACATCACAGTTCTCTCTCTCTCTCTCTTACACACACACACACACAAATGACTTTTACTTGATTGGAAGGCTTCAAAGCCTTAGCTTAAATTGGAAGTTTCAGGAACTTCTAAAATAACTAACATGCATTAGTTGATTGCAAAGGGATTGAGATGGAAGCTTTTTCTTCTTCAGATGAAGGAATCAGTTGCTACTCGGTGGAGTGATAAAGGGGAGCTGAGGACAAGGAAAGAGGACATGTGATCAGAGTCTTGTGTGTGACCATCTCCTCAGCCTCTGACAAGCAGAGCTTATCTAGCTGTAACCAGCAATACACGAGTGCCTCCTCTGGGGATTTGCTGGTTCTGCAGAAAGATACCCCTGCAAGCACTTCCCCCTTGTTATTCTGCAAGTCTCACAGATAAAATTACCAGTGCAAATGAATATGCAGACATCTGTCCATATATTCATTTCAGATATAGTATAGATTTTCATTCTGATAGAATCTCTTTTCTGCTATTCTGCAAAGTGTTTACTGAAACATGATGACTTTTATTGAAGTCACATAAATCCTACCTGGCACAAGGTAAATAAAAGGGTAAATAAAAATTAAAGTTGATATAGCTAAGATTTCATGTAAGAATACATTATAAAAGTCTCTGAATATAATTTTACTATTTGTTGTTACACAAATAACTCAGAAAGATTGTGCCTTGTTACTTTGTTTACTTTTAAATTTACGAAGTCTCCTCCTAGTTAATTATAAACGATTGTTTCCCCTTTTCTAAAATTCCTTTCACCTATGGCAAAGGTTGTGCTTAGTTGAAATTGAATCTGTAATCCACTTTGAGAAGTTTTCTTTCTATGTTTGATAACCAGATGCACACTACAGGCTATGTGATTCATTTCCAGGGCCCCTGCCTGTATATTTAGGCCAGTTAACAGTAGGAGGTTGTGGTCTGTGGTTGTAATGTTATCTGGCCCAGGGAGCTAATGGATTTGATCACAGTTTCGTTACGTGAGAAGTCACATATCACAGAGAGTCCCTAGCCTCACTAATTAAAATGTAAAAAATTATACCTTTTAAGTACAAAAGAGAGGGTTCTTTCATCAAAATTAAAGTTATTGAATGTAATGTTAAACTTTAACTGGTATACAGATGAAACAAATTAATGCTAGCATCTTACTATACTGAAAACTGAAGACAGCAACATTAAACCTAGGATGATTATAATGGGAATATCAGGAGCAAAGAGTGATCTCAAAATATAGGACTTATGTCACAAACCAAAAGGATACAATAGGAATGATACTTATTTTTCCAAACAAAATGGCCCCATATGTACATTTTTATATCCTAAGGTATTGTCCTGAGTTGGTACCCTATTAATAAAATGCTCAATGGGATATTATGCAAATTTCAATGGAAATAGTTAGCTACCTAGTGTCATTATTTAGTAGGAAGTTACTTTTGGATTCCAGAGTTGTTTAGAAGGGAAAAGGCAATTTTAAATTTGGGAAAAGCTAACTCTTCTTCTTCTTCTTTTTTTTTTTTTTTTTTTTTTTTTTTTTTTTTGTAGGATAGAAACATAAAACTCTAGGCAATAGGTTTCTTCCCCCTTTCTTCTTACTCTGTACTCTCTGCACTTCTGAATGGTAGTTATGGTTACCATTACCTACTTAGGAAATGTAAACTCATGGCCATATAAAAATTTAAGTACAATCAAATCTACTTTGTTTGGCTTTTAGGAAAGACGGTAAGTTCTAAGGATTACACATTGCAAAAGCACTCATTACCAGATGAGCAATTTTTAACAAACGCTTTAAAATACTCATTGCATGTAGTTATGCAATGGATACTGGATCAGTGTCTAGCTGTGTGATCTTGGTCATTTCACTGGGAATCTGTAGATTTCTATTTCGTTCAAAGTTAAGAAAGGGCTGCTTTGTTTTTTCTCATGTCTGTTGCCGTTCAAATGTGTCATCAGTCTGTGGTTCTACCACTTTGAGAGTCTTCAAACTTAAGGAGCAGCAGAATTCGAGGATTTTAAAATGTTTTTCCTTTAACATGAACCCTAATGATACCAAACTATTATATTCTTCAGTATTAAGATGGCATACTCTTTATCTACCTCTTAGATGTTGTCCTGGCTAGTGTGGCTGGTAATGTTGTGGTGTGTAATACAGTGTGGCTACAGCTCTGAAAATACTCTCTGTCCTCAACTATTTTCTCTCTAGTGTTGTATTCTGACATCTGCTCAGTCATGAATGGGAGAAGATTAAAATATATTTTTTCCCCTTTGGCATTCCCAAAAATGTATTAAGGAGTTCTACATTAAAAACAGGCAAAAGCAGCAATGAATAAGCACTCTCCTTTACACAAAGCAGACTACTCTAACTTTGTGGACTGAGATAAGTCACAGGGAGGACCTCAGTGGTAATAGGTGGTGGTTGTCCTGGGGACACAAGGGCAAATGAAAATCTTCAGAGAAGACACTGGATGAATCAGGAGGCAGTCTCTTCATTGATTTAAATAAAACGATTAAATACCAAAGGAATACCTAAAAAGAAACAGATTTATTTTCCCAGACTATACAAAAACAAACAAACGAACAACAACAAAAAAAAAACAAAACAAAACAAAACAAAACTATTAAATAGAAGGTTGGTCTTAAAACAATGGTAATA